CTATGGACTTTTGTTTTTTATCCCAGGGTTGGGGAGGACACTTGGGGCCACACCCTGGGCCTGTTTCTAGCCTGTGTGGGTGGAACCTGGGAAAGGAGCTGGGGCGGAACATGCCTGGAGACTAGGCCAAGACCACTCCTGGGCAGGTTGCCAGCGTTGCTGCAGCCCAGGCCATGACTGTGCCACTGGTGGGCACAGCTGAGCCTTAGCCTTCATCAAGGCTTCCTGTCACTAGCAGGCTGTGCGGTCCCTGCGCTCAGGGACCTGGGTGGAAGAGGGCTGCTGGGAGGTGGCTGGATAGGGAAAGGGTAATGGGTGAGGAAGGGGAGGGTCACCCCTTCATGGATGGGCACAGGGCAATGGAGGACTCACTTAGCTTGACTCACCCTGGTCCATTTTCAGGCCTCCTAAGGTTGTGGTCAAAAGTCCTGCCTGAGCACCTCCACATTTGAATAGCCCTGAGCAAGGTACTTCATTCTCTTTAGGCCTTAGTTGCCTGATCTTTGCAGGAAAGAAAATCATCCCACCCTGCCTCACCTCTGGGAGCCACCCTGAAGGCTTAACAGGGTGAGCAAGATGGAGGGACAAAGTGTCCTATGCCACATACAGGACAATTATCAGGCATTGTGTATACCCTTTCTTTCCCTCCAGCATTCCTAAGAGGAGAGCAAGGACCAGAATGACTTATGCTCTTTTCATAGATGAGGACACTGAGGCCCAGAGAAGTCATGAAGGGTGTTGAGAGTCAGGATCTCCTAAACCAGTCCAGAGCCTGAGGTCTCCAAGATAAAAAGGTTCTTATGAACTACAGGGATGCTGAACCAGGCTCACCACCTTCTTCCACCCCACCCCACATCACGGGGTCAAGTCCAAGTCCCTTATCCACCAGGACACCCACTCCAGCATTTATACCACTGGGGCTAGAAGCCTTGAGGACACACCCTCCAAACAGTCTTAGGTCCCTCCGCACATTAGCACTGCCTGGAATCCCAGAGGGAAAGCCAGTCAACATCCCGCATTCCCTAACGTCACAGGGCCATTCCTAACCCCTCCCTCGAGAGAATCTTGCCGTAGCAACATGAACCTAAGTATCTGAGGCAAATAGACCTGAGCTTCAATCTCAGCCACTATGTGACCCTGCTAAGCCATTCACCCTCAGGAGCATCCACCTTCTACGCGTACACGAGGGATATGACAGCTCCATGTGGATCATGATGCTGGGCCACTGGGGCTGTAAAGCACCTGACACACAGGAGGAGCTCAGTGAAATGTGGCTACTATCATTCCCTCCAGGCCCCGGAGCTCCCCGTCTCCCTCCTTTCTCACCAGCCCCCTCTACCCGTGGTCAGAGGCAAACATTTAGCAGTTATCTACTGTTCCGCAGGGTGCACCAGGCTGGCCACTCTAGGTGGTAAAATCACAAAGCTGTGCTCTGCCCTCAGGTTCCCACTTGCCTATACATCCTAGTGTCACCAGGCACTACTGATCCCCATCACCTCCTGCCTCCAGCCCTGCAGTCCCTCCTCCCGCTGACCTATCGCCATGGCAGCCCTGATCGCCGAGAACTTCCGCTTCCTATCGCTCTTCTTCAAGAGCAAGGACGTGATGATCTTCAACGGGCTGGTGGCACTGGGCACGGTGGGCAGCCAGGAGCTGTTCTCTGTGGTGGCCTTCCACTGCCCTTGCTCGCCAGCCAGGAACTACCTGTACGGGCTGACGGCCATCGGTGTGCCCGCCCTCGCGCTCTTCCTCATCGGCGTCATCCTCAACAACCAGACCTGGAACCTAGTTACTGAGTGTCAGTACCGGAGAACCAAGAACTGCTCGGCTGCCCCCACCTTCCTCCTTCTGAGCTCCATCCTGGGCCGCGCGGCCGTGGCCCCCGTCACCTGGTCTGTCATCTCCCTGCTGCGCGGTGAGGCCTATGCCTGCGCTCTCAGTGAGTTTGTGGACCCCTCCTCGCTCACAGCCGGGGGAGAGGGCTTCCCGCGAGCCCATGCCACAGAAATCCTGGCTAGGTTCCCTTGCGGGGAGGGCCCTGCCAACCTGTCAGCCTTCCGGGAGGAGGTCAGTCGCAGGCTCAAGTACGAGTCCCAGGTAAGGCCGTGCAAAGAGAAGCTCTTCTTTCTTCCTTAGGTGGTAGCTGGGGGGGAGGCGTCAGGATGGCTCCGTGTTAGAGCTGGAGTTGGTCCCCAGGGTCCAAGGTCTCCAGGAAAGCATAGATTATCAGCACCGGGTATCAGAGCTGGGTAACCCATGGGTTAATACCTGGTGGGCTGAGGGTCAATTCCAATTCCAAATAAGTTTTAAATGTAAAAGGAATGTTCTTCTGGCTCAGAATGAGCCTTGATCCCAGTCACAGATTAAGCCCCTTACTCCAGCCAGATAGAGCACAAACCCTGTAAGCCTATGAAATTTGCTATGGGCCATGAGTTGATAGTGGGGTGTGGCTGGCTCCAGGTGCGAGAATGTTCCTACCCCAGGAAGGCCTCAGAAAGCAATTAATCAGCTGCAGGCATTGCTGACATAGGGGAGTCCTTTGAGCCAGGAAGCTGCTGCCTTGATTCTAGCCTCTCTTGGCTTAGTTCTGGAGGAGTGAAGGTTGATCAGGGGAGAGACATGGGTAAAAACAGGAAAACGGAGCTGGAAGCATTAATTTAGAGAAGCAGGGGTAAGGAACAAACAGGGAAGAGCGTAAGATTTTTTAAAAGGTCTCCTCTCAGGTACATAAGAAACACAAATAGAGAAGCAGGGCAGAGAGTGATGCTGTAAGAACCGGGCTATGGAGCACTTAGGGAAGGCAAGAATGCTTCCTGGAGGTGGCATCTGGGCTAAGCCTGGCAGTTTGAGCTGGATTTTGATGGGCTGAAATGATGTGAAGAGGGAGCCTTGGGGCTAAAGAAATGGCAGCAGAAAATGCGGGAGGCAGTGTCTAAGAACAGAGAAACTGCATTCAAGAGAGGGAGGAAAAAACAGTGAAATTATAACTAGAAGGGCCTGCTTCCCTTACAGAAGCAGAATCTTCATTCAGGGCAGAGCCAGTTCTCAGGGGGTTCTAAAGCCCAGGTGCAGCCCAGCCCACCCCCCATTTCATCCTGGGTTGGTGGGGGCCCAGGCAGCAACTTGCCCCTCCTCAACCCTGCCCCTTCTCTGGCCAGCTCTTTGGGTGGCTGCTCATCGCTGTGGTGGCCGTCATGGTGTTCCTGACCAAGTGCCTCAAGCATTACTGCTCACCGCTCAGCTACCGCCAAGAGGCCTACTGGACACAGTATCGCAACAACGAGGAGCAGCTGTTCCAGCGCACGGCCGAGGTGCACTCAAGGGTGCTGGCTGCCAACAACGTGCGCCGCTTCTTCGGCTTCGTGGCGCTCAACAATGACGACGAGGAGCTGATGGCCAAGTTCCCAGTGGAAGGCACACAGCCACGGCCGCAGTGGAACGCCATCACCGGCGTCTACCTGTACCGTGAGAACCAGGGCCTCCCACTCTACAGCCGCCTGCACAAGTGGGCCCAGGGTCTGCCGGGCAACGGCACAGCCCCAGACAACGTGGAGATGGCCCTGTTGGTCTCCTAAGGGCCGTTTCCATACTCTTTGCAAATGACAGTCCTTGGTCCAACAGTGAACTCCACTGCCTGCTCACATTGGCATCAGAAGGTTTTTTTAAACCATAGCTCTTTGGGAAAACAGTCCAAGAGAAAGGAACAAAGTAATCTGGGTACAGAGGAGAGGGCTAGTACACAATGTGGTCAGCTGACAGGCTTTCTGACCTGAAGAAATCCCCTCTCCTGTTTCCACCAGCCACTTGGTCAACAGCTTTGGAGGAAAGACCCTTACTCGGAACTGGTCCTTAATTAACTGTGATGTAGATGACCTTTTACTGGTGGACTCAGGCTGAGAAGCCCTGGCCAACAGAGCTAGGTGACCATGAAACTCACCAGTAGGCTCATTGTATAGGATATTGTGTGGTTAATTTGTGTCTAACTGCATCTGCCCTTCAATGTATGCTACTGGCTTTATTTTATATATTTAATTTTTTATAAAGCTTTTCTTAGTATAAAGGACAACAGTGGTGTCTGCATGATTGGATGGGCCATGCCATAGCAGATTGGTGGTCATGGGGACAGGCCTAAATCCCATCCCCTGTGGGAAAGAAGGGGGCAGAGAAACCCTGGGCAGGACTAAGATGGGCAGAAGGGAGGGCAGGGGGGCAGGGAGAGCCAGGTGTTCCCACACACAGGAAAGCTCTGGGTCTGATGATCTCTTAGCAACTGGATTCAGTTATCTGATTTGATCTGGGGGAACAGATGGAGGCAGGCCTCTCTCAGAGGGAAGCTCAGCTTAAATTTCTTGAGTCAGAAAATCCTACACTCAGTAGGGAAGACTAGCTCTCGTAACCCAGCGCCAATAACCAAGAACCAGGCCAGCCCTGGCTCCTCCTCCCTCCCATGCCCGCCCTTGTGTGAAGGCCTCCGCCACTCTAAAACCTTTGATGCCCTCCCTTGTCCCAGTCCTGCTTCCTGGCAGACGACTCAGTCACTGCCCATGGAAAAGATCTCTAGCTCTCAGTGCATTTAAAACTCTGCCAAAGAAAATTTTGAATTCTCTCAAGATCAAGCCAAAAAAAAAAAAAAAAAAAAA